ATTATATTAAACAGTGAAACGTGCTAATTGTCTGGTCTGAAGCTACCGTGTGTCTGGGCACAGAGTCTCTGTAGGTAATCAACACATTTTTTATTTGAAGGCTGTTGTGTGGAGAGGGCGGATCAGTGTGTCAGTGTGACAAGTGGTGATTATTTTGTGCTTGTAAAAAAAGAAATGGAACATAAAGATTCCTCCAGTTTCCTGACAGTTGAAGACCAGAAATCAGAGCTGGTTCGAGCGGTGGTTTAAATGGAATTTTTTGTTGATTGTTATTATCCCGAGTTCCCAACTCTCAGCTGAGGTGATGATGTATTTTTTCAAATGAAGAAATTAACTTAAAATTTAAAAGTTAATGTAAAATTAACTTGAAGTTATTGCCATGGTTTCTTATAGCCACATTTAGGACCAGAACTTAGTTGTTGTGAGTCTGAGTAGCAGTTCTATAATGTATTTGGTGTAAGTAGCACATCAAACATCAGTGTCACATATTTTCCTGTTCCTAACCAGCCTTGAACCAATTCAAAGAGCAAAGGTCATGTGACTGCTCTGCTGAGTTCTAACAGCTTAACATGATTCATCAGATACTTGGGTGGGATGCTCTGCCACAATACAAAAGGTGCTCAGCTACCCTGAACACCCCCCACCCCCCAACACTGGCAAAAAAAGGGGTTGAGAATAAAGTTTAGATATTTTGACTACATGATATACATTCACTGGATATGTTATTAGGTACACCTTGCCAATTGGAACCCTTTTTGCCTTCAGAACTCCTTTAATTCTTTGTGTCATCAACAACTGTGCCACATTCAAAGTCACTTTAATCACATTTCTTCCCCATTCTGTCGCTCGGTGTCTGATGCTCAGTGATCGGCTGATTAGATGTTTGCGTTAACGAGAAGCTGAACAGACGTAAGGTTGTATAACAGTTGAATTAACATGCTTACTAAGCAAATTTAAAGACCTTTGAATGAATGAACTGCAATACAAATGATATACAAGTTTTCATTTTTTTGTTCAAAATTATTGTGTCGGTGTGATTGTTTTATTTTAGTCGGGCACAAGTAATGTAGGGAAGAACATTTAAAATATGAAGAAGGAGGGAAAGCGGACATTTCTTGAATAAATTCATTTGATCAGCATCCTGTGTCACCGGCATTTTTATACGCCTTTGTGTATTAACTTATTTGTGCTTTTAATGCGTTTTCTTTGCTGTTTTTAATTTTGTTAGTAATTTTTTGGTATTGTATCCACTTTCGTTGTTTTTGTCATGTGATCTCCTAAACACTGAGGCGATATTTTAACATGTTGGGAACTAAACTGATTGAATCTCTTGCTCGTTGGATGAAGCCAGTAGTTGGTTAGCTTAGCTTAGCATAAACACTGCTCTCCTGGCCTCGTGCAAAGGTAACAAAAAACAACTTTCTACCACATTATTTCAAGCCAAAGCTAACACTTTGTTTCTTGTTTGTTAAATCTGTACAAAGCTCAAGAGTAAAGATGACAGTCTGTCATTTTAGGGGCTGTTATGTGACAGGCTACAAATAACCTGCTGGACTCCCCAGTAGTTGCCAGGCAACTTGTCCCAAAGATGCGAGAGCAGCCTTCAGAGTCAAAGTCTGTGCTGTGTACATGGACCATCCACCCTTTGAACCCCCTCCTTCTGACTTCTGTGAAGCATAAGAACATGACACGCTGCCAGTGAACATTAATCCAGGCAGCAATTACATTTCCTGCTAAAGCAGACAGTTATTTTCAGAGACAGAAAATTCAAAACAGTCCATAAAGGCAGCCAGATCTGACACTTCTGGCCATGTGTCACTTGTTTGATGAAGTGAGTTGTGTCTCGAGTATGGCTGTTAGTCAGTTTCCTCCGTACCTGTTTGCTTTGATAAAATGCATGATGAGAATTTTGTGTGGTGCAGGAGTGCTGGCGTTTGTGGACGGAGGCCCCGGAGGAGGAGGAGGCACCCACGAGGGTCTGTTTGAGACCAGCCAGCTGATGAAGAGAGAGAACAGCCAGGGAGCTGTGCAGCGGGCGCAGGCGGCAGCTGCCAAGGCCCGAGCTCTGGCCA